TGCATCATTTTAATCTGTTCATGCTGAGTGTTTGTTTCAGATTTCTGCTTTGGCTTCAGATTTCTGAAATCCTATTGAACCGTTGATCGGCTGCCCCATCCTATTAATCATAATGTGACTCACGCTGTGTAATCCGCCTTGAATCTCGGGGAGAAAGGCGGACGATAAAGAAAGTAAACCCATACAGTAGTAAATAACGCTTGCGAGGAAGTTCTGTCGATTTCACTGGAACTTCCGTCCAAGTAATTGTGTTTCTGGAGAGCCTGTCAGCTTGACCAGGCGAAACGCGTCTACTCAAAAGTCAGTCTGGCTTCAGTTCAACGCTAGTTACTTCCAAGTAAACACAGTTACGAGGAGAAGCCGTTTCTAAGATGATTGTAGACGGGACTTTATTGCCAGTTTTGTATGCCTTTCGTGTGATATTTGATAGCGTCATAACAGTACAACAGCAGTAGTTTTTTTTTTTTAAAAAATGCACGTGGTATAGTTCCCCAGGATGGGGGGGGGCTCAATTCAGGGGGAAAAGTTGCGTGATGAAGTTTCTTTAAGTTTCAGTGAGAGTTGTTGTTGTTGTTTTTTTAAATAGAACATTATAATCTCGTGCACACTTACTGGGGAGTAAATCGCGTTTAAATTTTGCCTTTAAAGGTGCCTCGTTTCGGGCACAACCTTTTACACTTCATTCTGTCGATTCCAAAAACATTTGATTGCGGTTCATTTCTGCTGGATTCCACTTGGTCTTCTGGTTTGCCTGCTCATGCTTAATATCTTACATATAATTTTTCTAACCCCTTTTGCATATTAGTTGCAGAACAGAGGTAGTCTCGAATGGGTAACGGTGCATTTTTAAAAGCTGGGGGGGGGGAGAAATAAAATCAAAATGGTTTTGCATCGGAAGAACCAAAATCAATCCCAAACCAGTGCAGGATTAGTATTTTAACCAATTGTCCCCCCCCCCCGGCTGTTTTTTAATGTATTTGTGGGAGTTCCAGAGTAGGGGAAGAGAGAGAGATGGAGAGCGAGCGAGAGAGTTTCACAAGTGAACGGGAACTACTGGTTGAACTGAAAAAAAGGTTGTCTGAGATTTAGGAATGTGTCATGAACAGAGACAATCGTTTCTATAAATGTAACGAATCTGTGAAAATTCAACTCCTTTAAACCACCAAGTGAAGGAAACGCAACCAATCTAGTATCAAACGGCTACTGCAACTCTCTTCCCCCCCCCGCGCTAAAAATGTAAAGCAGTATGGATATTTCAAAACTGTCATTTAGTATTTTTGTCTCTCCTTTTCGGAAACTAAAAAAAATTATTTCAGTATGCTCAACGTGGGGGGTGGGGGTAACAATCTGGTCCTTTGAGACAGATCGAAATGGGTAGCCGTGTTAGTCCGTCGGTCGCAGTAGAAAAGAGCAAGAGTCCGGGAGCACCTTCAAGACGAACACAGTTCGTGGAGTCCCTGCTCACTCCTTCAGAGACTTCCTCTAATCCTTTGGGAGAGATTTCGTATAATCGTTTCGTGCAGTAATACACTGACGTCCTCATTTAATTAATGAATGCGTCTGCTTAGTGAACTTATTGCACTGACTTGCTGAGTCCCGAGAGCTCCGTGTTATGCTACACAGACGTCTCCTCCTGACCTCGGGGACCTTCCCAAGCGAAGCCTACACAGTCCAGCGAGGAGGTAGCATCTTGTTGCCGCGCAATCCTATGCAGAGTTGTTCCAGTGGAAGCCCGTTCGAGTCAACCGCGCTGTAAACCTGTTGGTTCAAAAAGGAGTCTTGTGGCGTTTTAAAATCTAATTGGTTTGTTTTTCAATTTAGGTCAAATTTATTGTCCGCCTTTCTCACTTGGACGCAAGGCGGGTTGCACAGAGGGAGTCCATAGAATCGACAGGGTGGGGTACTCAATAAGCAGACTGTAGAACCTAAGAACAGAACTGAAGCAAAGCATGAGTCTTAACACGAGCCGTTAAATGATACACAAATGACAGCAGGATCCCAGTTACAGTAAACTACACACAGCGGCATAGACCACAGGCCCTAATAAATTTAACCAAGTAACTCTGTGAATCATTTAGTACAGCGCAACTCTTTAACCTGTATAGAAAGTTCTCTTGAATAATTCGGTTTTGCTTATGTTAAACAGAAAGCTTTGCTTTTGCGCACTTATCCGGGAGCATAACCCACTGAAAATACCAGATCTTACTTCTGAGCAAACATAGCTGGGACTCTTGCAATCTCATGTGCGCTTCCTTGGGAGTAAGCCCTCTGATAATATCGCAGGGGGCTCACTTCTGCCTCAAAGTGCAAAGGGTTGGGGACTGGAAATCGAGGAGAAAAGAAAGCAAATGGATGAAGAACACCATGTTAGAGAGACCCCGAATTTAAGTGGGACGGAGGAGCCCAATTCTCCCCCTCCCAGGGAAAGGTGGATAAGAACGAAAGCGATGCACAGGATGCGTCTCGTGTACACGGTTTCGATCTACGGAGCCAATTCAGTCTTGCTTGGCATGATACGGCAGCAACGGAGCTTACAGGTCGTTTTGGCATTCGCCAAGCGCCAGGGTTGGGCCCACTGCCGGCCATGGAGACATCCGAGGGAGAAAGTAACAGCCCCACTTCGGGGCGTGCGTGTCATATCTGAGATCGGGAGTGGAAAGAATTTCTCAATGATTTAATTTTTTTTTTTGGGGGGGGGGAGAAATAAATCCATTATAGAAGCAATTAAAAGTGAAGGTGCGGCTCACGAGGCGGAGCTGGCTGCGAGTGACAAACCCGAGAAGGACGCGGCGGCGAAGAGATTCTCTGGAGCTGCGGACGAGGCTTCCGTTTAAAAAAAGGTTCTCTGGTCTGCAAAGGTGAATTCCAAGACAGTCCCAAGCAGTCCGCGGGTCGGTTTTCTGTCAGGGTGGGTGCGTGTGAACGCGCTCTTCCTGACAACGCTCCCGCGGCGCCCCCGAGGAAGAAATCCGACAAGTTAAAACGAGTGTTTTAAAAATAATTTTGAATAATTCCGCCGAAATGCGTGCAAGGAGCGGATCTGGCGGTCTGCGTCGGCGGTCGTGTTCGCGACCAAAGGAAGAAAGAGATGAGACGACTGGACGGGCGCTTTCCGACGTCTGCGCCGCGCAATTCCAAACCGAGAGACACCCTTTCCAAACCCACTGACTTCGATAGGTTCAGAAAGGCTGGGAATTCAGTGTTCTGGCTGGGCATTCAGTGTTCCCTCTAAGCTGAGTGAGTGTGAGCTAGCTCAGTTCTTTAGCCTCCGGCTCACACATGTTTGTCTCACCTCGGGAAGGACGGGCTCCAGAGCAAAGTAATTTATGCAGCAGCCCAATCGCTCGCTCACAGCTTTCATGCCAGTCCCTCACAAAGTAGAATTTTTGCTCACAAGACTCCACAGCATAGAGGGAGTATTGGCTGGGATTGCATTTGCAGGCCCCCCGCATGCCCTTCCTGGACGGCTAGGGAGAGGGGGAGGGAGGGTTTTACGCACGCGGGAGGACTCTGGCCCAAACCAGAGCTCTCTTCAGACGAGGCCGGGCATCTAAACTGCGGGTCTGAAATGGGAGTGGGAGACCGTTTTGGCTGCATGTTCTAGAGCCTGATGGAGCCGCCGGGGATGTTGGGTCTTCTCACCCCCTAAACATCAGGGCAAGAGGGCAGATCTCTTTGGGGACGGCGACCAGTGCCAAAAAGGTGAACCCTCCGGAAAAACGGAGCGTACTTCCGAGGAAATATAGCCAGCCAAGATGCGGCTGTAGGTGAATATACTATTACAGATGCGACCCGGTCCTACCAGGGTCTACTCAGAAGCAAGAGCCGTAGAGTCCCCCGGGGCTTGCTTCCTTTCAGACCAGGTCCGAAACGCATTGAGCTGAAGGACAGGACTTGCACGGGGGGGGGCTTACTTAGGAGCCGGCCGAGAGGCGCGTAAGAGCGCTTCTCCTCGGCCGGGTCGTGCCCGCTAGTGGGATGCTTTCGGATGCTAACCGGGAGGAACGACCGGCTCCGCTCCGTTGGGAATGACAGGCTGGCGCTTCGTTCTTTCGGGTGCCAATGCGGACGCAGCAGGGCCGGCGCCCAGGCTCCCCCAGACTTTCATTGTCGCCGCCGCAGAGCGCGCAAAGCCCCTGCGTCTGGTCTGGAATCACACCCGCCCCCGGGATCCCTGAGTGGTGAAACCGCCGCTCCGTTCTTTCGGGGGGAAATTTCCGACGACTTCCCAAGAGGTCTGAGTCCCGTCGTCGCAGTTCTCCCGCAGAGCGACGCGCGGCCACCCTCGCCTGCAACTTCCTCAAGGGAGAGTCCAGAGACGGGCCTTGCGCCCCCTCCCCTCCCCTGCCCTCCCCGTCCAGCCGGCCTCCCCAAGCTCTCCAGAACTTGCTGATGGCGCAGCTTGGCCGGA